GGTAGGTGTAAAGATGTAGTGTTAGAGTGTTCAGCAGAAGTTTGTGGTTACAGGAAAGTGGGTGCAGGAGGGAAGAGGAGCGAATGGTGGAATGATGATGTAAAGAGAGTAGTAAGGGAGAAAAAGTTAGCATATAGAGAAGTTTTTACAAAGTAGAAGTGATGCAAGGAGGGGAGAGTATATGGAGAAAAAGAGAGGTTAAGAGAGTGGTGAAGCAATGTAAAAGAGCAAATGATGAGAGTGGTGCGAGATGTTATCAACAATTTTGTTGAAAATAAGAAAAAAGTTTTGGAGTGATATTAACAAGTTAAGGAAGCCTAGAGAACAAATGGATTTGTCAGTTAAAAATAGGAGAGGAGAGTTATTAAATGGAGAGTTAGAGGTATTGGGAAGATGGAGGGAATATTTTGAGGAATTGTTAAATGTTGATGAAGATAAGGAGCTGTGATTTCATGTACAGGGCAAGGAGGAATAACATCTTGTAGGAGTGAGGAAGAGCCAGTTGTGAGTGTGGGGGAAGTTCGTGAGGCAGTAGGGAAAATGAAAAGGGGTAAGGCAGCTGGGATTGATGGGATAAAGATAGAAATGTTAAAAGCAGGTGGGGATGTAGTTTTGGAGTGGTTGGTGCTATTATTTAATAAATGTATGGAAGAGGATAAGGTACCAAGGGATTGGCAGAGAGCATGCATAGTTCCTTTGTATAAAGGCAAAGGGGACAAAAGAGTGCAAAAATTACAGGGGGGATAAGTATGTTGAGTATACTGGTAAAGTGTATGGTAGAGTTATTATTGAAAGAATTAAGAGTAAGACGGAGAATAGGATAGCAGATGAACAAGGAGGCTTTAGGAAAGGTAGGGGGTGTGTGGACCAGGCGTTTACAGTGAAACATATAAGTGAACAGTATTTAGATAAGGCTAAAGAGATTTTTGTGGCATTTATGGATATGGAAAAGGCGTATGACAGGGTGGATAGGGGAGCAATGTGGCAGATGTTGCAGGTGTATGGTATAGGAGGTAGGTTACTGAAAGCAGTGAAGAGTTTTTACGAGGATAGTGAGGCTCAAGTTAGAGTATGTAGGAAAGAGAGAGATTATTTCCCAGTAAAAGTAGGCCTTAGACAAGGATGTGTGATGTCACCGTGGTTGTTTAATATATTTATAGATGGGGTTGTAAGAGAAGTAAATGCGAGGGTCTTGGCAAGAGGCGTGGAGTTAAAAGATAAAAAATCACACAAAGTGGGAGTTGTCACAGTTGCTCTTTGCTGATGACAAGTTTGCTCTTGGGAGATTCTGAAGAGAAGTTGCAGAGGTTGGTGGATGAATTTGGTAGTGTATATAAAAGAAGAAAATTAAAAGTGAATACAGGAAGGGTAAGGTTATGAGGATAACAAAAAGATTAGGTGATGAAAGATTGGATATCAGATAGGAGGGAGAGAGTATGGAGGAGGTGAATGTATTCAGATATTTGGGAGTGGACGTGTCAGCGGATGGGTCTATGAAAGATGAGGTGAATCATAAAACTGATGAGGGGAAAAGGGTGAGCGGTGCACTTAGGAGTCTGTGGAGACAAAGAACTTTGTCCTTGGAGGCAAAGAGGGGAATGTATGAGAGTATAGTTTTACTAACGCTCTTATATGGGTGTGAAGCATGGGTGATGAATGTTGCAGCGAGGAGAAGGCTGGAGGCAGTGGAGATGTCATGTCTGAGGGCAATGTGTGGTGTGAATATAATGCAGAGAATTCGTAGTTTGGAAGTTAGGAGGAGGTGCGGGATTGCCAAAACTGTTGTCCAGAGGGCTGAGGAAGGGTTGTTGAGGTGGTTCGGACATGTAGAGAGAATGGAGCGAAACAGAATGATTTCAAGAGTGTATCAGTCTGTAGTGGAAGGAAGGCGGGGTAGGGGTCGGCCTAGGAAAAGTTGGAGGGAGGGGGTAAAAGAGGTTTTGTGTGGGAGGGGCTTGGACTTCCAGCGGGCATGCGTGAGCGTGTTTGATAGGAGTGAATGGAGACAAATGGTTTTTAATGCTTGACGTGCTGTTGGAGTGTGAGCAAAGTAACATTTATGAAGGGATTCAGGGAAACCGGCAGGCCGGACTTGAGTCCTGGAGATGGGAAGTACAGTGCCTGCACTCTGAAGGAGGGGTGTTAATGTTGCAGTTTAAAAACTGTAGTGTAAAGCACCCTTCTGGCAAGACAGTGATGGAGCGAATGATGGTGAAAGTTTTTCTTTTTCGGGCCACCCTGCCTTGGTAGGAATCGGCCAGAGTAACAGAATCACACTCAAGGGAGCACGTGCACTTCCTCGTGTGAGTCATGAGAGTGCTAACCCCGAGCCGTCACTAAGGTCGTGTGGGAAGCAAGGTCAGGCCAGGAGGAGAGACATCAAGGATAAAATAATTAGGTCAATATGCAACAAGGAGAAGGGAGGAGACGAGCCATGGGCGGTGTTGGGTCAAGGCTTCTTGGTGGACTCTCCCTCTCTCTTTCCCTCCCTCCCTCTCTCCTTCGAACACACAACTGCACACTTACAGGGATGTATGGAAATATTTAATCTCAGGGCGATTGAGAAGTGGAATGACTTGAATGAGGAAGTGATGGAGGCAAACTCAATGCACAGCTTCAAAAAGTAGATATAGTGATGCCCAAGAGAGCAGAAATCTGATGCCGGTTAGAGTGATCTCGGAGTCAGGGCTAGCAGTCGAGTCTCGACCCTCGCAAACACAAGTCGGCGAGTACAAATCGGTGAGTACACGCAATCACGCACTCACTCTCTGGTTTACTAGCAACTCACACATTCCCTAGCTTTCCATTACCTCCCTCCTTCCTGTCACCCTCTCCCGCCACCACCAATCAGCTGATGATCGTGATAGACGGAAAGGGACTGAGGTAAAGATTTGAAGCAAATCAGATATATGCACTTGTAGACGGATGGATGGATGTGATAAAAGACTGATCCCAGCACCAACCCTGAGAAACATGATAGCTGCCAATGCAGAGCTATTATAAATTATAATTAATTCTTATTATTCACTTGAGGGAATAGACAATTAGATTCAGCCCAGATCCCTTTCATGACATCAAGGAACCTGTGTTGAAAATGGTATAAAACACCAGCAAATTGATGATTAAGACGTGTGCAACAGTTGGGTATCTTTATTGATTAAACGTTCCGCCTGGAGAAGCCTACAGTGTAGACTGTTGCAAATGTGTCTTGCGCTTCATCAAGGAACCTACCTTCCTTGATGTCGGTGAAGGAAGTTTGTTGCTTATCTGCCGAAGTGCTGTTGGTACCGAGAGATTACTAGCAAATTTCTGTATTTGGTCAGGGGAGGGGGGGGGGGTCTTCTGTCATGCGGGATGGGGGGGGATTCTGCTGTCAGGCGGGTGAAGTCTCTGCCGTTAAGGTGGGAGTATCTGCTGTCCGGCGGGAGCAGGGAAGTGTTTTGCTGCCAGGCGAGGGGGGAGTGTCTGCTCTCAGGGAGGGGGGAGTGTCGGCTGACAGGCGGGGTGGGGGTGGGGAAGGGTGTCGGCTGCCTGGCAGGGGGGAGGGTGTCGGCTGACAGCAACCTAAATTTAGCAACCGAGCCTCTACATACACGCGAGATATACGCAATGTCTCCTTCCTATTTTTAATTTTTTTTTCCCAAACTACTCTTCTATATTTTTTAGGCTGTAAGAGGAATGACAAAAATGGGAAGATAAAGGGCTGGGATAGGACACAGAGCAACGAAAAAGGATGCGAGAACTCAGGGAGGGAAACGATAGGCAAAAAGGTCTTGGAACTTTGGGTGGACTTTGAGAGAATTTTTTTTTTTTTGTGACAGTAACGAGTGCGGTGTATGTTCTCATTCTACTCTGCGAATACGAGTTAAGGCGGAAAAAAAACAAACGAGAATAAGTTATGCAAAGATCACGGCCAGCTGGGCGTTTCAGCAGTCAACTCTCTCCATCCTCGCATCATGAACAGAGAGATGGGGGCGCGGGTGGGCGGGTTTACACACACACACACACACACACACACACACACCACACACACACACACACACACACACACACACACACACACACACACACACACACACTTGAAAACAATGGAAGTTTCACTACGTATTCCCATGGATACTGAAAGAAGATTGGACTCGCACATTGACTCAAGGTTGAGGGACTGATTACCTCAAACTTCTCATCTTCCACCATTCTTCATTGTATTGGACTGAAGAAGCCACTGGCTGGCGAAACGTTTCCACAACAATAATTTCCAAATGTTGAATAAGTGTCTCATTCTTTAAAAGAGGAAACAATAAGAATAATGCTTGATACCTGGAAAATACCAAACAGTAATACAGCTTGTAGAACCCACCATGTTTCCACATGGAGAAAAATATTTAAGTAGCACTCAACTACAGGCCATTATTACTGACATGTCTATTCTCCCTGAAGAAAAAGAATCTCAGTGCTGTGGCTGGAACAATTCACAACTAACCAACAATTTTGAAAGGAAGCTTTAGATGCCTTGATAATGGTGACGTACAGACGGAAATGTCTAAATTGCCGCTCCAAATTGTGGGTTAGTTGTGAATACTCCCAAAGTACTTGAGAAGATAATCATGAGAAGGTTGGTAATGCACCTGAAAAGAGCTTCCTTACCCAGCAAGAACCTCTTGGTGTTCTATGACAGAATAACAATGAGTACAAGAACTCATCTTTTAGAACTGTAAGAAGGCATTTAGAACAGTGCTACTTGAAGGACAAGCTAGGGCGAGTGGAAAATGATTCGGATAAAAATAAATAAAAGACATAAGACGGTAACGGTAAGGAATCAGGATGGGAGAGTAACAAGCACTCGCAGGGTTAGTTATGCCTCTTTTTTTTTTGGTATACCTAAATTATGATCTGATAATGAAGTGAAACTAACAAGAAGAATAAGAGTATGAATAAGAACATGAAAAAAGGATGGAAATATTGCAGTTTGGAGGGGCATCTGAGCTGTAATGTTGTCCCACCTTTGGCAGGGCGGTGACTGAGTGGTGTCTTCTTTTTCGGGTTACGCTGGCACTGTAGGAGACGGCCTGTGTGTTAAAAAATATGAAAAGAATATGAGAGAACTTGGACAGCCTGCAAGAGTGGCCAAACGTGGGGTTACTGGAGTTTTATCCAAAGAAGTAGATCATGAAATTCAGATAAAGATGGAACAGAGATGCAAAGTACAAACTAGAAGGGAAGAAAATTAAATAAGAATATATGTGCAAGGAAAATAATCTGGGAGCTACAATTACACCGAATACATCACCAGGGGTACATGTAAACAACAAATAATTTTTTATATACTCCTATGCCACTTACTGTATTTTTCGGCATATAAAGCGCGTTTTTTTTTTTTTTCAAACAAAAAAGTCTTATATGCTCAAGGTCAGGGTCAAGGGTAGGCTTTGAGTTACACTAACAGTTTCTTACTAACGTTACATTATAACTGTTTGGAAACATAACCTTATATGTCTTACATGCTCTTGCGCCTTATATGTCGGAAAATACGGTATGTCATGCCTAGTTCAGAAAAAAAAAAGAAACTAACAGAGTCAACACTTTTCAAAACACTTTCAGAAAAGGAAATTTATTTCTACCTAATCTGGAACAGAATAGTTTGTACTGGGAAAGAGGTTTAACAATGCAGGGGGAAAAAAAGAGGGCAGATTAACAGGTGGATTAACAGAGAAGACAAGATGCGTGTTTTGTTTGAAATTAAAGGCAGAGATGTAACAAGGCATAACAAGGCATAAAACCAAGATGAGGCACAGGAACCCTAGGGTATACTCCTTCAGTTCTAGGATGCTAATCAAGTGGAATGAGCAAGATGAGTAGGCAGATTCCATACTCAGTTTCAAGAGAAGGTATCATGTATAGGTCCCAAGAGGCCAGAAACTACTAATGTCAGCTATTTGAAAGGTCAAAGGCGAGGGCCAGGAACAAAATCTCGGCTCTGTGAAACAAGTCTGTAATTACATACACTTACGTCTGCGCCTGAACATCTGCTTAAGTCGTCTGTTGCCCTTCGTGTTTGTTATCTGGACGTTTCAAAAGATAATTTTTCATTTTATTCACCACTACCATCACTTTTCCAACCTCCACTATCACCACCCCAACAGTGACCACCTCCAAAATCACCAGTTCCACAACTTCTGGAAAGACATCTACTCGATGACTGTGAATATTTAATTTGTCACTAAATGGGAAACGCCTCATGAGTTAAAAAGACAACTGACAGGGAAAGTTTCCCAAAGCAATCATTGGGTAGAACCCAGATGTCTACGTAACTAACGGGCTTCGTATTTATGGCCAGCGAACCACCAGCGGCTCCCTGATCATTTGAGGCTCACGGGCCACCTGCGGCTCCTGGCCCATTTATTTATAGCTCGTTGTAATATACTATGCTGTAGCTCATCCTCGTGCCGACAGAGAAATTTACAAATTCCAAAGTTTTCTATTTCTCCTCGGCCACCCTTGTTTGACTTATGACCAGTTGTTCTAATTTGCCTATTTGCTTAATTAGCTCAAATTTAGAGTAGAAAAGCCGTATAACAAGTGGAAATTAAAACGTTAACGTTTAGTAAAACGTCAACAAATTTACGTTATCAACCGAGAAAGGGTTATGTGGTGGCGTGACTGCGCGCACGCGCACACGCTCACTAGGAATGGTGTTTGTAAGGTAAAATATCAGATCATCGACACATGAGCTGGAAGGCGGTCACCACCTGGGTAGTGTCGTGTGTTCAACCAATTATGCTCGCAGGGGTTGAGTTTCAGCTCTTGGCCCCGCCTCTTAGACCTTTAATCTACTGGAGTTGCGTGTGTGTTTGTTGGTGTCGGTGTTTGTCGGTGTGTGTCGATGTTGGTGTTGTCGGTGTCGGTGTGTGTCGGTGTCGCTGTGTGGTCGGTGTGGTGTGTGTTGTGTGTCGGTGTGTGTGTGTCGGTGTGTGTGTGTGTGTGTGTGTGTGTGTGTGTGTGTGTCGGTGTGTGTGTGTGTGTCGGTGTGTGTGTGTGTTGTGGTGTTTGTGTCGGTGTGTGTGTGTGGTGTGTCGGTGTGGTGTGTGTGTGTGGTGTGTCGGTGTGTGTGTGTGTCGGTGTGTGTGTGTGTGTGTGTCGGTGTGTGTGTCGGTGTGTGGTGTGTGTGTGGTGTGCTGTATTGTGTGTGGTGTGTGTGTCGGTGTGTGTGTGTGTCGGTGTGTGTCGGTGTGTGTGTGTGTGTGTGTGTGTGTGTGGTATCCTATTTGTATCACTAGTTGTGGTGCAGGTGGTCGAGTGTCGGTGTGTGTGTGTGTCGGTGGTGTGTGTGTGGTGTGTGTGTGTGTGTGTGTGTGTGTGTGTGTGTGTGTGTGTGTGTGTGTGGTGTGTGTGTGTGTGTGTGTGTGTGTGTGTTCGGTGTGTGTGTCGGTTGTGTGTGTGTGTGTGTGTCGTGTGTGTGTGAGTGTGTCGGTGTGTGTGTGTGTGGTGTGTGTGTCGGTGTGTGTGTGTGTGTGTGTGTGTGTGTGTGTGTGTGTGTGTGGTGTGTGTACTCACCTATTTGTACTCACCTATTTGTGGTTGCAGGGGGTCGAGTGTCGGTGTGTGTGTGTGTCGGTGTGTGTGTGTGTGTGTGTGTGTGTGTGTGTGTGTGTGTCGGTGTGTGTGTGTGTGTGTGTGTGTGTGTGGTGTGTGTGTGTGTGTGTGTGTGTGTGTGTGTTTGTGTCGGTGTTTGTGTGTGCGGGTCGGTGTCGGTGTGGTGTGTGTGTCGGTGTGTGTGTGTGTGTGTGTCGTGTGTGTGGTGTGTGTGTCGGTGTGTGTGTGTGTCGGTGTGTGTGTGTGTGTCGGTGTGTGTGTGTGTGGTGTGTGTGTGTGTGTCGGTGTGTGTGTCGGTGTGTGTGTTGTCGGTGTGTGTGTGTGTGTCGGTGTGTGTGTCGGTGTGTGTCGGTGTGTGTGTCGGTGTGTGTCGGTGTGTGTGTGGTGCGTGTGTGTGTGTGTGTGGTGTGTGTGTGTGTGTTGTGTGTGTGTGTGTGTGTGTGTGTGTGTGTGTGGTGTGTCGTGTGTGTGTGTGTGTCGGTGTGTGTGTGTGTGTGTGTGTGTGTGTGTCGGTGTGTGTGTGTGTGTGTGTGTGGTGTGTGTGTGTGTGTGTGTGTGTGTGTGTGTGTGTGTGTGTGTCGTGTGTGTGTGTGTGTGTGTGTCGGTGTGTGTGTGTGTCGGTGTGTGTGTGTGTGGTGTGTGTGTTGTCGGTGTGTGTGGTTTTGTGTCGGTGTGTGTGGTGTGTGGTGTGTGTGTGTGTGTGTGTGTGTGTGTGTTGTGTGTGTGTGTGTCGGTGTGTGTGTGTGGGTGTGTGTGTGTCGGTGTCTGTCTTCGTCCTGTCATTATTTACATTTAAACTTTTCGTCAGGATGCAGTGCGCGACGCTTCCTATTTACTGCTGGTACATACTCAAATACCTGTACGTCGAAATTACTACTAATGTACTCAAGAGGCTTGGCAGACAATGTAGGATACTTCCAATGAAAAGTAGGGGAACGATGAATACACAAAGAGAAAACAGTAAGTGTTAATTAAGGGACCACGTCTCTTCAATACTTTTCCATTCACTCTTAAGGTGCATTAGCTGTTTTGACGAGGGGCTCGACAGGTTCCTCAAAACAGTTCCTAATAAACCAGGTTGTGCTGCGAACGTTGGACTAAGGGGGGCGGGCACTGACCACTTGATCTATCAGATCAAGTGGTCAGTAGGTAGACTACGTGACGAAGGACAGCAGGTGTAAAAAGACTTGCCTGTTGTGTTGTTTTGCCCTGGAATCTAACCAAGTCAGATCCAAATATTTGGTAAAAACTACTACTGACGCACCGGAACTAATGACTCCTCCTCGTAATATGATTAAACTTGTCACTCACTCAGCCCATCAATATTTTTAATCAATTATTCAAACAACTTGTCAGAATTTAATCTATCACTCGTCCAAATATTGTAAAACGTGACAATAAGAATATATTTTGGGCAGAGTTTGGTATTTACTCTCAGAGCTTGAACTTTCAGCAAGAATTTAAGTTCCGGATGGACCACATGGAAACTGGTCAAGGTGTACCAGCCCACCCAGCACCCACCCTCTTTTCCCATGGGCAGTGTTTCAACTCTTCCACTCACCCCCACGGCAGTGCCTTCACTCTTACATTTTACTTCATAGGCAGTGCCCAAACTCTTCATCTCACCCACCTAGACAATGTCCCTACACCACCTTCCTCTCTCATCATAGGTATTATCTAACGACCCTTTCTTTTACCCTCCTGGCTAATACCTTTACATCGTCTCATCTCCTGATCAGTAGCTCTTGTTGTCTCATTTGATCTTTGAAATGCACCTCAGACCTTCAGCACCAAGCCTCGTTCTTGTAGCGGCTTTCTAGCCTCTTACTGACCACTCCTCTAGTTGTCTCTACAGCCTCTTGATGGCCGCTTAAACATATCCCTCCAACCTCTTCATCTCATATACACCCACCCACTACACTAGTCCATCACACATTTGAAGCTCCCGTCGCCGACGTGTTTCAACAAATTGTATGAGCGCCATCCTACGTGGACTATGAAAGGGAAACAGCTTTTGTACCCTGCTGTAATTCTCATATAGAACAAGGTAGCAACACACAGCTGATGTATCCAGTCTTGAGCAAGAAAGGAAATCAACAGCCTGTGATACCAGGCCAGGACAAGTGGTCTGGCTGAAAGGTTCCTCGTTAAGTCAATGCAAGTGTCATTTGTGTCAAGTTTAAGTGCGAGGTCGCGTGTCCTGGGGTGGGGAAAGGTTTATGACTGCCTGATAGTGGGTGAGAGAGAGGGAGTATAATTTATCTGCCTTCCTGATAATAGGGATGGTGTATTTTACTTTCATTGGGTCAGGATAGTGGTCATGATGATGGTAGAAAAGATTGCAACGTTTCGCTCTGAGTAGAGAATGTGATTGTTAGTGTTGAGGGAGCTATAGTTCTTGGCGATGTGGGTAATGAAATGTGGGTGTTGTGGTAGCGAATGTGATGATAGTGCGATGGGTGTAGTAATGGGGTGG